ACATATTTAATTGTTACAATCAATACAACCACATCTTTACCATTCATTATCTTTATCGTCGGTTATTATTTGATCAGTTGAAAACAACGGTTAATTAAAAAAACTTAAAAAAGAAAATAAGAAAATGGACAAATTTAGATGAAGTTGTGGGTTGTAAAAATAGGAAGGGTTATATTTGATCGGTCCTCTATATATGTAGAGGTGGATTCAAATTGAAACCGAGGTACCGCTGAATATATTTCTACAAGTGTAAAATGTTCATTCTATGTTAATATATGAAAAGATGGAGCATTGAAATGAACTTTTGTGAAATATGTGAACATTGATCAAATATTAATGAACATAATCACATTGTTCATATATTAATGAACATAATCATATTGTTCATAAGTGAACACATGTTCATATAAGAGGAGATGTTCATGTGTATATTAATATTCATAATGAGAATATTTTTTTTTATTGATGACAATGGATTAATGTTCATATGAACATTAATGTCATTAATGGACACTTAGAAATTTTATGATTTTTTTCCAATAATACCCTTGTTCGTATATGTTCATCTTAGATGATAATGTATTATATTATTAGTTATCACAAAATTGTCATTATAAATGTCATCCATTGATTTAAAAGATGAATGTTTGTGATGGGTTTACAAAGTTAATAAATAAACTTACCCCTATATATGTATATATACATATATACACATATATATAGATGTGTGTATATATATATATGTAGCAACTATTTTTTTGAAAACTCTCTACCATCATTTTTGTTTTATCATGTGTTTCAACTAAATTCAGATACATGAACATCGTTGTGCGCGACATATACAATGTAAGAAGGTGACATCTATGTCTTAAGCATTTATATGTATTAATTCGATCTTGAGCATTTATATCCGAGTCTTGAGCATTTGTATATATGATTTTGATCACGAGCATTTATATCTAAGTCTGAAGAATATATTTGAGTCTTAAGCATTTGTATATAAGATTTTGATCTCGAGCATTTATATCTGAGTCTGAAGAATTTATATATATATATATATGTGTGTGTGTGTGTGTGTGTGTGTGTGTGTGTGTGTGAGTGTGTGTGTGAGTGTATGTGTGTGTGTGTGACGATAATCAAATGAGAACCACAAAAATGTTACATACCAATGAGAATCGATACAAAAATATCTTTTTACATTATTTTTTTGATCAAAAGCTATGATTTAACATATTATTTCACGTATGTTTGTGTTCATCTTATGAAAAAAAATTGCATGTGAAACTTTTTTATTTACTTAGTGAAATGAAAAATATACATAAAAGATATTCATTTGATAAAGTAGATACTTATGAAACTATCATATTATGAAATAAATATATATGAAACAATATCTTGAATTATAACATTTGATTGAAAAAATCTATCTAAAAATTTATTTATATTTTTATTTTGAGAAGCATAATTTAAGTCATCCAGATAGGTTATATCTAAATCATAGCAATG